CCTTGCGCATTCCTGAAATGCTGGATGCAGCACTGTGCTGTAATTGAAGGCTACACCGCAGTGTATGCAAACAGGTGGAGAGAGCAGAGGTTGGACTTTGCATATCCTGACTTCTCTCAGGGTGTTTCTCTTTGGAAATGTTGTCTTTTTCCAATGAAAATTTTTAGTGGAAAGTTATCAGTGCCTTTTGTATGTTTGAAAATGTATCTGCAGCACAGTAATATGCCAAACAGAGCTGTTTCTAATATGGCAACACATACTTTATTTTTTTCTCCTTGTCCACCCTAGAGCAAAAATATTCAACTCCCTTTTACTTATCAACAATACACCCACTTGTCCTCTCAGTTAGGTAGAAAACATCAAAGTATGGCTTAAAAAAAAGAAATCTGTCACTTTTTCACCAGCTTGTATATACTTAGATGCAACCACCTCCCTGCCATGAAATACAGGCAAATGCAAATGGAAGGAAAATTTAGAAAAAAAAAAAAAAAAAGGAGTACATGGAGACATTTTTGGCTAAATCTTATTCTCTCTTAGATTTATTCCCATACAGCTACTAGTGCTCAAATGATTTCCAGAGCAAGTACAAGTTACATGGCACTCAGTTTATCTGCTCTGGAATGGCAAAGTGCACACATAGATATACACTGTGGTTCCAGGGAGTCTAGGGATTTCAAAGCTGCTTTATCTCCCAGATAACTCACTGGCAAAGAAGGGTGAATTAAAAACAGTGTTGGTATCTAAAAACGGAATGATAGGTTATTAGTATGGGCTTTAAAAAAGAAGTGTAATTTAAGGACATGTTACAGATTTGTTCAGAGCAAGAGCTTAACCCTCTACTTTTTATTTGTGGATTCTTAAACATTTTTCCCGAAGAAGCACAAATACTTAAATTGTGTATTTCAATGTATTGGCTATAGCTTCGCTTTTTGTGCTCTCACAGCATCCCCTCCCTCCAAGTAGTCTTTGGGGATCTGTGAACCCGTAGTAAAACCCCATGTCCTAGCAGTTGGACAGGAACCACACTCTCCTAAATCCCACACATTGATCTGATTCACTGCATGACTCTAGTAAGCCTCCATCCACCTCCTCTCAGGTGAAACACAAAAAAATCCAGAGTTTGTAAGTTCTCGGGCTGAGGCACTTCACGCTTACTACAGAGAAAGGCTGAGCAGCCGAAGTTCCCGCTTATGGAAGTGCCAAGTGCCCAGGAATTTTGTACAGGCATTGCACTGAGGCACTTGAAATCAAGGGAATGCTCTGTATTTGTGCCCTTTGCCTTTGCAGCCCGCAAAGCCATCGCTCTAAAGGAAGGTAATACTATTTATAAGCAATGGCAGAGGCCAGAGCTCTCATTTACACAGGGCCTTTGAGAAGCCTTTGTCATGTTTTTGCAACAGTATTTTAATGACTTGGAGGGCTTCAGAAAAATGCAAAATACTGTCAAAAATGCAAAATGTTTGTATACCTCAGCCAGGGGGAGTAAAAGAAGCACTGGAAGAAGCTTAGCCAAGCCTGACGGGGTATAGTGGATCTTGATCTTTGCTCACACTGTAGTTAGATATTGTTCCCCCCCCCTTTAATCGTCAGTACCTTATCTCTTAAAGTGATCTCATAATAGGCTGGAGACAAGACAGAAGAGGGTGTGACACCTGTACTTACAAAATAGTTTCATACACCTAGTTTTTGTGTTTTCTATCTGAAGGGGGGTGGCCTTCAAAAAGCATGAATCCCTTTTGACCAGTTTTCTGAACCACACTGACAGAGACCTCATGGTGGAGCACATCTCGCTTTATCCACACTGCTGCTGCTTTTGTTGCCTGCTGTAGTTTGCTGTGGGTAACCACGTCCTCTGGAGACTCTTAAGATAAGGTACAAGTGGATGAGGGAAAACAGCTTATTTGGGCCCAACTCCCTTTTTTTGCTAAGTAGGAGCTGCAGGAGCTTTTCTTCTCTGCTGGTAAGGGCACTGTAGTATCCATAGGCAAACTGCCCCAACATGTACGTTGCCGCTGAAGAAGCTGCTGTGGTTTTCAAGGTGAAGGCTTGAAGTGTGGCTCTTGTTGCAACACATCTAAAAGCCTGGTGAACATGGGAGAGGTCACAGAAAGTAAAAACAGGTGGGAGATCACATTCTTTCCTATTCTGGGTACTATCCACTGCTGGCATCTTAGTTTTCTCAGCCAATGCAACCCTAGGCAGTGGCAGTTGTAAAGGGATAAAGAAGATTTGCTTCTCTGTGTCGAGCTACATGTCGTCTGTTACTGGAAGCAGGAATATGCCTGAGTGGAAGCTATCATATCTAGCAGCAAGAGCAAACGGCTTTCAGACCCTTGGACTCTTAAGTGGAACCTCCTAAAGCTTTTCTGCATGCATGCTTCCCTCTCTGTTTTCCTGTTCCTAAAATGGCCATAATAAAACTCCCTGCTGTAAAACAATCCCAGCTTTTTGAAGTAAAAAATGTGGCAGATGGGCCTTGTGATGTCCACAGGTGCAGGCATTCACATAACACTCTGCACTGTTTTAGCTAAGGCCCAGACTTCTCATTTCAACGCATCCCATGCTACCTACTCCTGGAATTCAAATACCATTCAGCAGCCCACAACCACACCAGTGAGTGGTCTGAAGGTAAAAACAATGTATTGATGCAGATCTGCAAAATAACAATTCATGATTATTCCTGGGATGAAGTGAGAGGGAGAAACAGCCAAAGAGGAGTTTTCAGGTATTAAAACCTGATTTGGATCTCACCCGCTGGCAGGAGGTGAAGTTCCCTGTAGGTTATCTCTGTTTGTCTTAGTCACCCTGCCAAGGTATCAAAGAGTTCGTAATTGCTTGTAGATACTGAAAACAGAGCTCTCCTGATTTTTCTTAAAGGTAATCTCACTGATACCTATTACGGAGGGAGAACACAAGCATTTCTAATATGGAATATTACTCTATCCTCTGTGCCTGGTTTGATGTAATAAAATTTCCTTTGATCCGTATGGATTTGCTCTCTGTTTAAATCACTGTCAGTAACAGAACTGAGACACATTTGTCTCCTGAAAGAGACACTAATCTGAGTTTACAGCACCACAGTGGCACGCTACAGTTTCACATGATGAAGAAATGGCAACACATAACTATCCCAAGGCAAAAGATGGATCAAACTGATAGTGTGCCAAATCAACTACGCTGGTTAGGTGGAACTTCAAGGGGCAATATAGTGCAGAAGTCATCTGAAGGTCTTCTTTCAGTGTCCTATTGATGATACTTCACTGCCACAGAGAAAGAGACCCAAGTTTGGTATGCTGAATTGCTCTTAGGGAGTGAAATGCTTTTAAGGAGTGAAAATGAAATAAATAGGTGATTTAAAGTTCTGAAACTTCTACTCAGTTCCTAATGCCTATCCCCTTCTCCCCACCTGCTGGCAAGAGGCAAGCCATTCCTGGGAAGTCTTAAAAGAAAATCTCAAAGGTAATCAATGAGAGCTATCTGAAAGCATTGCCTTGGGGTTAAATCAGTGCAGCTTGGTAGGGAGATGGCTGCCCAGGTGCCATGTTTTTGTAGGTGAACCAAAAGCTTCAGTCTCTCAGTCTGCCAGCACAGTGCCAGATCCCATAAAGACCATCAGAGGCACAAAATGGTGCTTATGCAGAAAACTGAAAAAGCGTCTCTGAAATGCTGGCCTGCTGTCTAAAATTGCATCTGATCTCACTGCTGGTTTTTATTTTCAAGTTCAGTGTGTTCTGTTGCAGAAGCACCTCAGAACTGAGCGGTCAAGCTGTTTGTAAGTCCAGCTGGAGTCACAAAGATGGAGCATCCTGCATGTCTGCAAGTGGCAGATCTTTTAGAAGCTAAAAGCTGGTCTAGGAGGCAGTGATAGGACCAAGCTCCCTGGCCACTATGGTGCCTCCACACACAACTATCTAAAAAAACATGATGGTTGTAGTGGCAAACATTCCTTTTACATACACGGGTCAAACACTTTGATGAGCAAGCTCTTGTGCAGCATGTTTAAGGCTTGAATTCAGTTCTCTTCTCCTGTGGAGGGGAGTTTCAAGCCTTGCTTAGCAGGGAAGTGCTGTAACCATGTTCCTTCTCTGCAAGAAAGTTCACAGCTAATTTTTTCAGCAGGTAAAGACTCCTGAAACACTTGCTCATTTCCAAGTTCATACAGGGTTACTAAGCCATCAAAAGTGAAAAGGAGCATCAGCTGATTTTCTTTGCCAGAGAATCTACACAGAAGTAAAAGCTAAAGTGAACAAACTTTTGCAGGAAAAAAAAAAAAAAACAACAAAATGAGCAAACACAGATTCAGAACTTCTGCATTCCTCTTTCCCAGAATGGAAGGATGGCCCTAACCAGGCTAGGTTCCGTGGCTAAGCTCCCTGAGCAGCGGAGGGCACAGAAAGCTGCCCTGTTACTGCTCAATCACCAAGATCAGTTTCTGGCAAATACACGCACATTTCGCAGCGAACGGAGCGGGCTGTGGCTCCGGCAGGTTTGCAGCTTGGCAGGCGCCATGCCCCCCACAGCTCACCAGCGGGAAGCGTTTGGGTGGAAGGGGACCCCAGGGGGACTTGTGCCTGTCCGTGAGAGGCGGCAGCGACGGCAAGACCCGCGGGAAACCGACAGGCCGGGCCTTGGGGCGGCCACGGGGGACACAGGGCCGAGGCCCCGCAGGGGCAGCGGGGCGGGAGGCGGGCAGGGCGCCCAGCGCGCCCCGGCATGGCGGCGCCGGGGCCCGGGAGGAGCTCTCCCTGGCCGCCGCGGAAGGAGCCCTCGCTCCGGCGCTGAACGGCCGGGGCAGCCGGGGTGAACCCCAAGGTGAACCCCAAGATGCACCCGGGGCATTACTCCCGCCCACAGCCCCTCCCTCCTCCTCCCCCCGCTGCCCCGGTCCCGTCCCCTCCGCGCCTCCCCCGCCGGGATGGGCGGGCGCGGCTCGGCGGGCTTGGGCGGGGCTGTTGGAGCGAGGCTTCTTTATGCGGCGGGAAGCCGGCGGCGCTCGGAGCTTCGGGCGGTTGCGACGACTGAGAGGAGCTACCCCGGCGGGGGTAGAGCGGGGCGAGGCGAAGGAGAGGAGCCGCGAAGGAGGAGGAAGAGGAAGGCGAGCGGCGGCCGGGGCGCTGCTATTGTTCCGCACCTGCCGCCGGCCGGGACACGTGGCGCCGCTGAGCCCCGCTCCTCGCCCCCCGCCGCTTGACCCGCACGCAGTCGCCCGGCACCATGGGCAAGGGGGTGAGCGGCGGGGGCCGGGACGGGGCGGGAGGTGGGAAATCCAGTGGCCGGTGCCCCTTTCCCTTCGACGGGGCTGCGCTTTGTCTGTCCCGGGCTGAGGCGGCCACGTCGGGTGCGAGGGCGGCAGCGGCCGTTCGAGGGCGGCGCCGGTGCCGCCTGTCCCGAGCAACGTGCCCTGGCGGCCGCCACGGTCCCGCCGCCGCCCGAGGGAGGAAGAACCGGGTCGAGGGCGGGGCGGAGCCCAGGGCAAGAGGAGGGTGGCTCAAACCCCCTGGCTCCCCCTTAAGGCCGTGTCCCCCACGGCGAGGGGCCTCCCGCTTGCCCGCCCGCAGCCCCCGGGCTGGTGTTATCTGGTGGCCTTGTGGAGCTGGGGAGGAAGCGTGGCTGCTGCCTTGGCTCCTAAGGGTACTTTAGACTTCTTGAGACACGAGGGCCCCGGTGGGGGGGAAGGCGGGGGAAGGGGAACCGTCAGGATTATTAGGCTAATTTGCCTGTTGGTAGCAGTAAGGATGTGATGGGAGATGGTAGCAGGAGGAAGGTGGGCGCCCCTGACGTTATCCTGTTCATTGGAGTGATAAATCCTCGCAGAAGGCTGTGCGGCAGTTTCTGCCCTGTATCAGCCCTTTATCTACCTTAAAGCCCACGAGGAGAAGTCCTTAATTTAGATTGTATGTTTTAACTAAATAAAGCATATGTGGAGGCTGTTGGAAACGGACAGTAGTGGAAAGCTGTTGGAAACGAACAGTAGTGGCTGTTAAAAGTGGACGGTAGTGGAAGGCTGTTGGAAACGAACAGTAGTGAACACTTTTTAAAGCTGGATGTTGTGATCAAGCACACACGTGTGTGAAGAAGAAACACCTCTTGACTTGCTCCTATTTCATTTTATGTTTAAAAACTAGAGGCAAGTTTCTAGGTTGTATTGTTTGGATGTTTATTTTTTCCTCTTTGAATACTTCCCTGTGTATCTTGTATAGTTGGAGGTGTGTGGACTTATGTTTACAGAACATTCTGAGTTGGAAGGGACCTACAAGGATCAAGTCCAGCTCTTAAGTGAATGGCCCATACAGGGATCGAACCCACAACCTTGCTGTTCTGAGCACCATGCTCTAACCAACTGAGCTAATCTCAGGCTTTACTGAGGTTTAGACACATTCCTGTAAAATTCCCTAATTTCTCTGCTTCTCGAGGAGAAGGTGACTGTGTGGGGTCACGAGACAAAGCGGTGTTAGTGTGTTCCCTGCCTACAGGTGTTCTGTGCTTCCTAAGCGCTGTTCAAACACTGACTTGACTTTGTATTGTCCTCATCTGTGCAGTACAACAGTGGCAATGTTGACATAACCGCATGAATAGGAGGGGAGCTGCAAGAAAGAACACGGCTGTTACTCGGAAAAGGGGATTGAGGAGAGTGTGGTGTGGGTTTTCAGCCTGTGTGTGCGCGTGTTTTTGTTGGGATTTTTTTTAGTGGTATCCTTTTGATGCTTAGCAGCCCAGCCTGATGTGTTTCAGTCCAGTAGACAACAGGCATTGTGCACAATAAGAGTTCACCCAGGAGATGAAACACTGAAGGTGTTGGGGGTGTTGGCAGTATTATGAATCTTCTTTAAAGCGTCAAAGAAGCCTTAGAGTAGTTTATGTGTGTGTGTGTGTTTAGGACTGTAGTGCAAAAGGCTTCAGGGACTTAGTCTGCCTTGGCAGGACTAATAGGAGGTACCAACGCTTTCTTATGTAGAGAGTTGTTAGCTGTCTTGCTTCCATTTCAGATTTCGTAGGTTGCATTGATAATAAAGCAATTAGCCCAGAACTGAAGTACCAACACAAGAGATAATTCAGCAGGGATAACATGGCTGCCTCGTGCTTTCTGGTAGCAAGTCACAAGATTTGTTCATTTAGCAGTGAGAATGCATGCGGATAATTAGGGACCCCCTGAAAAATGGGGATGTGAGAGAGCAAGGCTATGAAAAAGGTGGTGTGTGGATACAACACTGAACAGTATGTGCCTGCCCTGAGTTAGGGTGACCTAAAAGGAAACTTCTTTCCCATGGGAGCATGGGATGGAAGAGAAAATAAGAGCATAAGTGTGACAGGACAATTTTCTTCTCTCTGTGGCTGTGAGGAGAAACTGAGCAGAGCGTCTGTTTTACTTTAAATGGTAACGGGACAAGAGGAGGGCCGTCAGCTGCCTGGGTATGGTGTTCAGCCCAAAAAGCAGATTATCCAAGGGGGTGTGTGTAGTGGAGAAAAGCACTGAGGATTTAATTTCTGTTCAGAGCTGCCTGGAAACTACATGTCTGTAGACAGCAGCATGTTTCACTCCATCTCCCTCACTGCACAGACATAGCTCACAGTCGTTGGTCCATGCTTTGGGTTGCTTCTGGAGATCTGTCCTACCTTATAGCCCACAAAGAGAAGTCCTTAATTCAGATCGTACCTTTTAACTAAAGGAAAGCGTATGTGAAGGCTTTTGGAAACAGTAGTGAAGGCTTTTTGATACTGAATGTTGTGATCAAGCAGCCTATGCGGAGGAGAAACACCTCTTGGCTTGCTCTGATTTCCCTGAATCCCAGTAAAGGGTTTTTTCCCTGTCAGAAACTAGGAAGGCTTATTGCATAATGGACCAACTGAGTGGCAGTTATGCAAATCAAAGCAATCCTTATCTTGGTGCAATTAAAAAAAATTAATATATTATTCTCCCCTCATTTTTTCATTCCTTTATTACTATGGCTATTTTATTACCTTGACTTTTTATTACAGTGGTTAGAGGATAGTCCTTTTGCCAAAGAAAACCCTGGGCCTAGTCAACGCACATTTTTGCAAAAGCAGTGTAACAGGGTGAGGGGTCTCTGGCAAGTGGTATGTACAACCCACAACAATCCTGACCTGCTGAAAGCTGCAGGTCATGCTTCACCCAGGCCTTTCCAAGGGGAAACCCGTCACCATGTCATATTGGGTAAACTCGGTCCAGTCCACTCATCTTCATGTGTTTGTCAACTACTAGAGATGTCTGGATTTACAGTAAAGATGCGCTAATATTACAGGCAAAGAAGTGAGGGAGGTGACTTTCCATAGCTGGGACAGCATGAAAAAAACAGGATGGGCTGCTGAGCTGTGCAGCAGTGGCATTTGGAAAGCCCGCTCTGCACTTGATTCAGCTCCCTGACAAGTAGAGATGTTTGTCATAATACCCAGAGAACGCTTAAGATGTGTGGGTGGTCCTGTTTTTATCTTGGTGATGAAAACCCTCATAGGGTTTAGATCCTTTCTCGTGGGAGAAGAGCTTGTCCATCTGTGATTTGGGAAGCAGCAATCTTGCACAATAAGCAATTACTAGCTATGGAGTAAAAACTGCCTTGTACTGTCCTTGATGTTGAGAGACTGTTCAATTGATGCAGTTGATTAAATTTTTGATTCAGGATAGGAGATTGAACACAGCTCTTGGGAGGGAGTAAGAAGGATCCAAAGAAGCCATTCGCATCCCTTGCTAAGATTACATAGGATCATGGAGTGGAGTTTTCAGTCAATAGGCATAGTCCATTTTATGACACATCTGGTTAATATATTTGCTGAAAACTGTCTCATGAGGCAGCAGGAGAGTAACTTTTCTGTTTTCTCTGCACAATTGATTATAATGACATAAGTAGTAGAACAGACCAGCCCTCCAGGGACGGCATAATTTATTTTGGCTCTTACTTGACATTTCTTGTTGGATTAAGTGATCATAGAATAGGGTACTTCTGAGCTTGTCTGCTGATTTGTACCCTTCCCGTTTCCTGGTCAATCATGGCTTGTGTCGAGAACATCAGGTATGAATGGCTCAATTAGTCCAGAGCGGAAAAGCATAAGCTGTATCTGAAAGACAATAGGATTTTCTGGAGGCTGTATAAAACTTCTTACGCTGGTGTGTACAAATGTTGTGCTTAAGCCAGTGGAAAAAAAAATAAATCTTGCATGGAAAAAAAAAGAAGCTGCGCTGTTTTATTTCTCTGGCAGTTTTGATGAGTCACATGGGTTAAGTCAAGTAACAGGGGTGACATTTCTGATGAGACAGACCTTCCTTTGTGTTCAGGCTCAGTGATTAAATCACGGTAAGATGTGATTCTGGAGTACCGTAGGCCAAGGAGGGGAAAGCAGGGAAATCCTACAGCGCTGAGGTGGGATGAAACTCTCTTTCCCTGGCAACCCAGCCAGCACAAACCTTTGTTGAACAGATTGGGCTCATCTTGCTGGAAGAGAGGCGATGGCCCTGGAGGCACAGAACAGGGGCAGGACTTTGACTCTGATCTGTGTGTCAAGTTCAGATTTGAACGATGGAGCAGGAAGTTCAGACTCTGCATGAAATGATCCTGTATCAAGAGCTGAAACTGATTCTCCTTACTTTTCTGTAAGGTTGAGATGTGGTACTAAAGAAACAGAAGGGAAGATACTATGCTTTTCTCTCTCTTTTTTTTTTTTTTTTTTTTTTAAGCTGAGGAATGCTGAGCTCCTCGGTAAGATGGACTCCATTAAGACCCAAATACTTGGGTGCTTAAAGAAACAAGTAATTCTGTCAGCTCTTTGTTCTGACTGCAGCTGATTGCTGGGGTTTTTTGTTCTTTTTTTTTTTTAAAGCAAATCATGCTTGAACAAGGGCAGTGAGCCTTTTCATGTTTGCCCACTTGTAGATTGTTTCAGCTGCAACTGAAAAAGCTTAAACATTCTTATATTTTTGGTTGTTTACCATTGTCCCAGATAAGCTGAGTGACTCCTCACAGAAGTTTCAAAGAACCGGGAGGTTTTTATATTCACCTGCAAGAGCTTGCCAAGCTTTTCTGAGGAGAAGGGTGAAGCTGAAGGTGATAGACTCCTAGTCAAGCAAGAAGGCACTGGCTCCTTCACCTTTATTAAAAATCATTTCTCATCTCAAGCAGTAATCAGGAAGCATGTGTTTTGTGCAGGGCTGTGTTTGGACTTGTCTGCTATAGCTCTAGAAGAAGTCAAAAGTCGTTTCTTTCAAAGACTGAAGGAGAGTGATGCTTCATGGTGGCTTTTTGTGAATTGCCCTGTGGCAAATTCTTGTGATGCTGGAATGTGAGGACTGTGCTTGTTTAAGTATGCTTTTTAAAGAAGGGAAATGGGAGTTTAGGTGCAGGGAAAAAAATGCCAGGAATGCTGACAGTCTGTAGCACTGTCCTTTTCCTATACCAGTGGAGGCAAATAGCTCGGCTCTGCTCCACTTATTAAAATCTGTTTACATTGCACAGTTCTGTAGTTGCATGCAAGGATATGGGACATGCAAAGCCTGCCTTTACTGAATAGGGTGAGAGAACTGTGCATGACAAACGTGTGACTGGCTGCAGAGTGTTGCACACAGCTTTCTTAAAAACCCATGTCTAGATGTGACTGACAGGTTCTTTTAGATAAGTAAAGATTTTTTTTCTTTTTTTGTGTAGTTTCACTTTTGGTTTCGGTTTCTACTTCTCTCGGAGTTGATAATAAAAATTTCTTGTGCTTGCTGCTGAACAGGACAGTTCTTGGATCCTAACAATAGTTCCTGTTATATAGATCTGTGTCCAGATCGCTCTCAGGAATCCAGTTCCTGGTTTGAGATGCTCATTCAAAGATGGAGCAAGGCAATGCCTTTGAAACCTTTTCTTAATCTTGTTAAAGGTTTGACTCTGGTGCCACTAACTTCTGTTTCATCTCAAAGTTCTTCTCAGGGATCTTATTGGGTGAAAATCTCATCACCTAAAACTTGGCAGGGTGTAGGGAAGTAATAGGCTTTACACAGAAGGGAAGAGAGAGTTGTCTTTTTAAGTGATGTTTATGTGCACTAAGTCATGATTTGTTTGTCCTTAGATGCTTGTTTACTCCATTATGACAAGATCTAAATCTTTACATAATTTCATGTAGAATTAACCATAAAAAAAGTGAATGAAAATCCTACTGAATAAAGGGGTTGTGAGCAAATAATTTGCTCTGTGAAGTGTGAGCGGGACTGAGCACAGATAGAATCTGCGAAAGTGTACTGCTGCTTTGTATACCATTCTTGCTGGTCATACTGCCATAAATTGAAAGCAGATTTGTTGCATAACCAGCCAACTAGTGTGCCAAACTGAGAATGAAAGTGTTGGAACTTAGCCCCCAGATTCGACCAGCCAGAGATACCACCTCGTACTTATCTTCAGTTGATAGGCTGCTCCTCCTTGCCAGGGGATGTGGAGGACTCAGAGGGGGGAGGAGAAGTTAATGCCTTGGAGAAAAAATACGTATGCACTCAGGAATTGGTTTCTTCTGCTCTTCATCACTTTTTCAGCTTGAGCTGGGGCTTGAGCGTCAAGACAGCCTGAATAGCTTGCTTTCCTCCTAGCTAGACTTGCACAATGTCTGGCTATAATCTGTGTATTGGGGATGATGTTGAGCAGAATTGTCTGCTCACTAGCTCATTTTTTTAATTTATTGAAGTGGCATAACATTCATAGAATCATTTAGGCTGGAAAAGACCATTAGAATAATTGAGTCCAAGTATTAACCCATCACTGCCAAATCTATCGCTAAACCATGTCTCCGAGTGCCACACCTACGCATCTTTTAAATACTGCCAGGGGTGATGACTCAACCACTTCCCTGGGCATAGTGTTCCAAGGTTTGACGGCCCTTTCTGTGAAGAAATTTTTCCCAATGTTCAGTCTAAACCTCCCCTGGCACAACTTGAGGCCATTTCCTCTTGGCCTGCCACTTCTTACTTGGAAGAAGAGACCAACCCTCAGCTGGCTACAGCCTCCTTTCAGGTAGTTGTAGAGAGCAATAAGATCCACCCTGAGTCTCCCTTTCTCCAGACACCCCCAGCTCCCTCAGCTGCTCCTCATAGGACTTGTACTCTGGAACCTTCACCAGCTTCATTGCCCTTCTCTGGACAGTCTGCAGCACCTCAGTGTCTGTCTTGTAGTGAAGGGCCCAAAACTGAACACAGGATTGGAGGCGTGGCCTCACCAGTGCCCAGTACAGAGGGACAATCACTTCCCCGGTCCTACTGGCCATGCTTTTTCTGATACAGGCCAGGATGCCACTGGCCTTCTTGGCCACCTGGGCACACTGCTGGCTCGTGTTCAGCCACTGTTGACCAGCACCCCCAGGTTCTTTTCCGCTGGGCAGCTTTCCAGCTACTTTGCCCCAAGCCTGTAGTGCTGCATGGGGTTGTTGTGACCCAAGTGCAGGACCCAGCACTTGGCCTTATTGAACCTCGTACTGTTGGCCTTGGCCCATTGATCCAACCTGTCCAGATCCCTCTGCAGAGCTTTCTACTCTCCAGCAGATTCAACACTCCTGCCCAACTTGGTGTGCCTGAATACTGGCTAAGGGTACACTCAATCCCCTTGTCCAGATCATAGATCAAAATATTTAACAGGACCAGCACCAATACTGAGCCTTGGGGAACACCACGTATGACCGGCCAACAGCTGGATGTAACTCTCTTCACCACTGCTCTCTGGGTCCAACCATCCAGCTGGTTTTGTACCCAGAAAAGAGTGTACCTATCCAAGCTACAAGCAACCTGTTTCCCCAAGAGAATATTGTAGGAAACAGCTCAAAAGCTTTACTAAAGTTTAGGTAGACAACTTTTATAAACTATTATAATTTTGTCTGTCTGGCAGTCTTGTGTGCATACTTCATGTCTACTGCTGTAGAATTTGACAGTGAGATGTTTCTAATGATGCTGTGTCTTCTCTTGCAGGCTGGAAGAGACAAGTATGAGCCCACTGCTACATCAGAGCATGGCGGAAAGAAGAAGAAGGGGAAGAAGGAGAGGGACATGGATGAGCTTAAAAAGGAAGTTACAATGGTAAGAGTGTAGGGCACAGAAAGAGCAGCCTAAAGAACATTTGCTTTGCCCAAAGCCCTGTGCCTTATGAGACTAAAAGAAAAGAGTTGGTGTGCTGTAACTAAAGGCACTGATCGCCCTTTTCCTCCCTTTCCCTCTGTCCCCAAGCCCAACATGCTGCAAGTGTTTGAGCATCAGGATGACCACAGAGTAGACCCTGGAAACATGACTTCTCAAAAGGCACTTCACACAGAACCTGCGTTTCTGCTTGCCTGTATTGCCTGTAGCACAGTATAGTTGTATTTCCTCACCAGGCAAGCGCTATCTGGATAGCAGCATTACAAGCTTTATTGTGCTGTCATGTGAGTGGCACTGCTGTTTTCATTCCAGCTGAGGAGTTGAGGCTGTACAGCTCCATTTACTGCTGGCCTCTGCTCAGAGTGACCTCAGTATTATTCCTTCTAATCATGTTTGAAGCTGTGGGAGGTGTCTCCCATCCTTATCTCTGAATGCTGGATGATGCTATACATCTGTCTGTGAGCATCTGGCTTAGATCTGCTCTCCTTGAAGGCGATGTGGGTTTTGTTTCTGTTCTGTGGATTTGAGACTGTGCTTTCACAGAGGGGTTACTAAAGATTGCTCCAAGATGAGATTTTGCATTCAGTAGTGATATGAACTTAAAGCATCTGCTCCTCCAGTAAAACCTTCTAAGTGAGGCACTGCTCTGCACCGAGTCGATCCAACTGAAAAATAGCCTTTCTGTGAAAAGAAACCTCTCTGGGGGACAACACACTTCTCCCAAAGTAGTGCTTAATCTGGCAGCACTACTTAAAAATGTGTGAAATTGCAGGCTTAATCTTCTGTACATTCCTACCTTCCTTCCCAACTCCTTTTCTTTCCCCTCCTCTCTCACCCCCCCAAAAAAACCCCCACCTGTTGAGGCTTCACAGAATCTGCTGGGGGTGTAAAGACTGCACCGAGATATACTAAGACATTTTTAAAAAAGCTGTCACGTTGTATGCAAATAGTCACAAGAACACTAAAGGTGAGACTGTGCTGAATTCCAGAATGCGCTTGAGATTCTCTTCACAGGGAAGAGGAGCTGGAGTCTTGCTATCTCACCAAGCTGTTACAGATAGGAAACCTGGGGTGTGGGGTGGAATTACTGAGCTCTTGCTGATGAGCCTACAGGTACCGATCATTTCTCTCCCAACTATTTCTTGTCTTTCAGGATGACCACAAGCTGAGCCTTGATGAACTTCATCGTAAATATGGAACAGACTTGAGTCGGGTAGGTAGACGTTGTTTTCCTGCCCCCCTTGCCCTCCTCTGAAAAGAAACATTCTTGGCTCAGAGCATTTCACAAAAGGAGGTCTGGGTGGTCTGGTTGTGTGTTTTTTTGGGTTTTTTTCTCTTTAATCTCCCCTCCTCCAGTTGTTTCCCAGGCTTCCCAGAACTGTTGAATTCACAAATACTTCTCTTCATACTCCCACTGTACAACCTGACTGCAATACTGTTGTGACTTTGCTTCTAACAAAGTCACTGTTATCTGCCTCTGAATTGTTCAAGGTCAAATTGATTCTTGGATTTATTTTTTTTTTCCTGAGGGGCATGTAATGAAGACAAATGCTTGTTCTGTTGCAAATATAGCCTAGTGAGCTAGCACATGCCCAGAGACTTAATGATGGCTAATAGCAGTTATAATTTTGCCTTCCTGTAGTTAGAGGTATGCAAATGTCCAAGGCTACCTCCAAGCCCGGTGCAGAAGCACTGCAGTGATGTTACACCTTTGCTGTTGTTTGCTTTGCTTAATGCATTTTTTGCATGAGTGCACATAGCATCAAGTTTGCTCTTTACAACAGCACAGAGATTTGCATTTTTGTGTCAAAGACCTTGGCTTCTGAAAGCTGAACTTCCTGGAAGGTTGTTCCAAAGTGTCATCACGGTTATGGCCCCCAGCTTTCACGCTTGTTCCGTAATTTGATAGGATGGATTGTGCTGTGCTGTTCCTCAGAGCTCAAAGTCTGCTGCTGTAGCTTTCTTGTCCTGTCCTTCTTCAGTTTTGTAGCCCCATGGCCTGCAGGCTCCTCGAGTAGCATTCAGCATCCTGTAGCTCCTCTTTTGGCATTCAGCTTTCACACCCAGCTCTTGTGTTGTGGAACCCTGGCAGCTGTGGACGTCTGTTAGCAGCTCCTTGTTGCTGTGGTACACCTTGAACAAATTCAGAGCTACCTTCTGTGGTCAGTCTTGCCACAATGCCTAAAAAAAGAAACCTCTCTTGTAGGGTTTGACTTCTGCACGTGCAGCTGAGATTTTGGCTCGTGACGGCCCAAATGCCCTCACCCCTCCACCCACCACTCCTGAATGGGTAAAGTTCTGTCGGCAGCTCTTTGGAGGATTCTCACTCCTGTTGTGGATTGGTGCTATTCTATGTTTTCTGGCTTACGGCATACAAAGTTTGATGGAGGAGGAGGCCAACAAAGATAATGTAAGTAAAAATGTCGGTTTTTACCTCAAAGGCAGGCCGAGCAGCCTGTTTAGCTCAAAGCAGATTAACTTCCTCTAAGCATTCCGTCCAGAAGCTTTTCCCATAAGCACGGGAAATTCAGTGTGAGAGCTTAACATGTCTTGGAGTGCTTCCACATAATGAAATGAACAGCCAACTTCCTTTGTGTTGTGTTAACAACACTAGCTTGTGGATGGCCTTTGTGTACAAAATGTACAGAGACTGCAAGTACCTTCATGCTTGTAATGGGGCACTTAAATGCCAAGCAATTTATCTGGACAAGCTGGAAACCTTTCAGGCAGATCGTCCTCTGACTCATTTTCTCTGCTCTTTGTAGCTGTACCTGGGTGTCGTGTTGGCAGCTGTGGTTATCATTACTGGCTGTTTCTCTTATTACCAAGAAGCAAAAAGTTCCAAGATCATGGAGTCCTTCAAGAACTTGGTGCCTCAGGTATGGAAGAACTCATTTTCCTCAGGTCTGCCAAACCATAGCTTTCTCAAGGTTATTAACAGTTTTAAATATTGGCTTCAGTTGCAAAAGTCCAGGCTGTTACTGTGGGTTACTAGCTCTTAATTTCTGTGGGTCTATAAGACTCCTTCCCCTTTATGCTCCAAGTAATTATGCTAATAGGCCAAAGTAGTTTCTGAAGCCCTGTGAGTTCCACCAGCTTATTAACGATCATAGGACACTTTCTTAATAGTCTGGGGAGCTCAGTAACTGGTGTGATAAGCATTATAACTTGGATTCCTTCATGGACAGTCTATAACATACCTAACTATCAAACTGTCACCTGGGGAGCAAGGAGCTTTAATATCAAAAAAAAACAAAAAATAGCTATTTTTCTTAAATAACATACATATCAGATAAAAACATTTTAGTCCAAGTAGAAACCTTGTGGAACCATATCACAACTATTTTAAGGTACTCAGATCTTCTGAACCCTTTCTTTTGACTTGCTTTTGACCTAGATTGTTTCTTCGCTGTCTTTCAGCAAGCACTTGTAATCAGAAATGGTGAGAAGATGAGCATAAATGCTGAAGGAGTTGTAGTTGGAGATCTAGTGGAGGTGAAAGGAGGAGACAGAATTCCAGCTGACCTTCGGATCATATCTGCACATGGTTGCAAGGTACAGCAATGACAGTGTCTGGAAACTTCATTCTGAAGGAGAATGAATTAGTCTGGCTTTGAAATGTCATAGAATGTCTTCTGTGCAATGAATGGGTGGGGGAGTGAAAGAGAAGGGTGGGGGACGTGCCTAGTGTTTCATCTACTGTCATTGCTGAAGGCATCTGCCTGCTTGTATATGACAAAGTACTCTCTTTCATGTAGGTGGATAACTCCTCACTTACTGGTGAATCAGAGCCTCAGACCAGGTCTCCTGACTTCTCCCATGAGAACCCACTGGAGACCAGGAACATTGCCTTCTTTTCCACCAACTGTGTGGAAGGTATGTGACTCTCCTACTTCCCTGATGTATTAGCAGTGGTAGAGGTTGAACTGTATAGGTAAACAATGCGAATACACCATGAGTTCAGTGTATCAGTTGGTAGCCTACTTCTACCATGCAAAAACAGGCTTGAAGTTCCTAGCAAAGTCTTTGCCTGTTCCAACTGCACTACTGTAGAATCATCAAAGACTCCACAGCACTACTGTTTTTTTTTTTTTAGTTTCTTGCTTCTCCTAGAGGAGCAGCTATGTAGTGTGTCTTTGAGCCTGCCTGCCTTATTACAGCTGTGTTAAAGTGCAGATAACATAATGTAAACCAAAATGGTTAGGCAGAGCTATAAGAAATACTAAGCTGCTGCAGAAAGCAGGAACATAAGTCATATCTGGCAGAACTTTTGTTGCAGCTCTGAGAATGGTGGTAAGCAGTCTTTGCGCTGAAGCCCACCCAGAGCATCTCTTCACCACCCTCACCAGCTGTGACTGGTTTTGTTTTCTAAAACCTGTCTTCTTTTCTAGGCACTGCCCGTGGCATTGTCATTAGCACTGGGGATCGCACTGTGATGGGCCGTATTGCCAGTCTGGCTTCTGGACTGGAAGGGGGGAAAACTCCAATTGCCATGGAGATCGAGCACTTTATCCACCTCATCACTGGTGTGGCTGTGTTCCTGGGTGTTTCCTTCTTCATCCTTTCACTCATCCTTGAGTACACATGGCTGGAGGCTGTCATCTTCCTCATTGGGATCATTGTTGCCAATGTTCCTGAAGGGCTGCTTGCAACGGTTACGGTGAGTGAAGTTGGAAAAAAAGATTGTATTTGTTACATATATGGTTCTTAAAGAAGTGGAGTGCTTCATGCTCAGTGTGCACTCACAGAGGTAAACACTGTGAGTGTGTAGGGCTCAGCTTTGAGTTCAGCATACTCGGACTAGTTGCTGAAATAAGTGTCAAGTTCTGCAGCAATTTACTCAATAAAGATTCTTCCCTAAGTCAGACCTGCACAGAGGCTTGGCAATGTACAGCTGAAGTGAGCAAGACCAAAAGTTCCGGACTTGTCTTGCCTTTTTCTGTGGCAAGAAAGGGCCCTCCTGTTACAACTCCATGCAGCTTTAGGAAGCAGAGCAGCAACTGAGCCAGGCAATGGACAGTTGGAAGCTGGAACTAGATAAGAGCTTCTGGCAAGAAAGGGGTAGCTGGAGCTGCTCACTTCCTACACCAGTAAGTTGCAGCCCTATCACAAGAGCTATTTTGGGTCATCTCATATGTGGCCTGCCTTCACCTATTTTGAGAGTTCCTCTGATTAGGAGGTGGCAACTTGAACTGAAATGTTAGTCTGGGACTTGTCATTTCCTTCCTAATGCACTGAGAAGCAGAAGACTGAAGCCTTATGAGTCCTTTTCTGAAGGTTTTATGATGAGGAAAGTATGTTATTTAAACCTACCACCTGGGCCTAAGTGTTGCTGTTTATTTTGGAGTGGCAGGGTGAGCAAGAGGTTAGGGAATCACTGCAGGGCATGTAAGCTGGTTGTAATTCCGTGTGCACGCTAACTTGGATAGCAGTATTATTACTGCACAACTACATCTAACCTGTCATCTTCTTTCTTGTCTCCAGGTATGTCTGACACTAACAGCCAAGCGTATGGCTCGTAAGAACTGCTTGGTGAAGAACCTCGAAGCTGTGGAAACCCTGGGTTCCACATCCACCATCTGCTCTGACAAAACAGGCACTCTGACACAGAATCGCATGACAGTTGCGCACATGTGGTTTGACAATCAGATTCATGAGGCCGATACTACAGAGAACCAGAGTGGTAAGACCATATCTTTGCACTTGAGGCATTTCATTAAAAAATGGCTTTTTCTGGAACTGCCTGTGTGCTGGTATTTCTAAGAACCTGCATTTATAACTCTCCAGCCCGAGTGAAGTTCACAGTGCAAGGACTTCTAACATATGATCTACAGTGAGCATAAAAACCCTTGAAATGACACATAGAAAGCTTTTCACAGTGCCACATTTCTGTTTGATCCTTTAATTCCATGTAGCCTGCTTTTTGCTCAAAATTACTCCATTGGAATTTGAGCCTCTTGAATGTTCAGCCCCGTATGTTTGTTCTGTACGTAGAAATACTTGCAACGTACTTGACTATCTTTGCCGAAATGTATCTGATTAAATTGCTCCATCTGAAGTCTGCTGAAAGTGTGGACAGCAGAGGTGTTGGCCCTGATAATAATTACTTGAGGCTGGACATAGATGAAAAGTTCCATGTGGAACTAGATGGCTGCCTTTGGACAAGGGTTTTCCTGAAACATCCAGGTGGTGTTTGCAGAGCAGTAGCATGAATGTAAGACCTTAGCAGGAAGTGTCTCCTTGATATTGATAAAAATCTGAAATCTCAGTATGCTATGCAACTGGGAGAGTTACTTACCTCTGCAGAACTCTTCAATCCAACCAAACTCAGGAGTTTCCTAGCTGTCATCTACCTTGTGAAATGTTGTGCTTGCAACACATTGTTAGCATAAACGTTTTACCAGTGGTGCTGTTGCACCCTGTCCCAGACACTCCAAAACACTGTGCTTGTCTGAACCACTTTAAAAAGGTGCTTTGCTTAACACTAGTGCCAAGCAACAAGCTATAAATAGCTCTTTGGAAGCCCTCAGACCGGCAATGATTGAATAAACTTAGAAGATGTCTCTTCGTGGAAAGTATATTAGCTTGTCAGTTAACAGTCGGTTCAATTCATCTCCCTTGAAGCCAACTTAAGAGCTGCCATGAGAGAAGTAGTATCTTTATTGTAACTTTGTTCTTTTGGGAACTATTTCATCCAGTTCCTGTGTTGGTGGATAAAGTGAGACAAGCTGGAGGTAGAACCCAGCATTCCTTACTCAACCCGCTCTGAATGAATGTTAACCTGTCCAAAATTCTGTAGCTTTATCAGCAAGTCTTCTGCTACTGCTGGATGCAGCCATTACTGGAATCTTGAAAGCAAAGTGTTGTCTTGCACTGTTGCTATTTCACCCTCTGGTCTTAAAATAATCAGCTATTCATCGAGTACCTGGGAAGGGAGAAGGAATGAAAGAGATGTACTGTGCTAACATGCTCTAAGTGTTTCCTGTTTCTGAGCTAAAGGCTTCTTGCTTTTAAGTGTGTGGGATTTTGCACTTATGTGTTTGGTTGTTTGAGTTTTTTTCAAGGGGAAGGCTTTTTGACATTTTCCCTCTGCTTTCAGGTGCTTCCTTTGACAAGAGCTCGGCCACTTGGAGTGCTTTGTCCAGAATTGCAGGTCTCTGTAACCGTGCTGTATTTCAGGCCAACCAGGAAAATGTACCAATTCTTAAGGTGAGTTTCTAAAAAAGATTTTTGTCCTGTTCCTCACCACTGCTCTCTCATAGTGAGACTACATCCTGTGGGTCACAGGAACCTGCAAAGTAGAGGTATCTGCCACTTTTCATCTTTTCTACAGTCTAGCACTCTTAGAGAAGGTATGCTCTGAGCAGCAGAGATGAGACTGGGAAGACATTTCTCCTACAGCAGACTCCCTGCCATCCACGGGCATCTACACTCTCTTTGGGAGGTCAGATACTTCAGACAGGGCTAGGAAAGACCAGAAGGCTTTCCTAGGCATTTCCCAATATCTGGTTGTTCCAAGAATTGCTATCTCTGGCATTTGTGCACTTAAAAGCTACAAGCACCTGGTGCTGAGATAAGTAGACATCAGAGCTGGGAGAGCAGCAGTTGTAGGAGAGTGTCTCTAGCCAGTCTGTTCTCACTGGCAAGTCTTTTTAAGCTTTTGCTGGTTCAGTACTGGTGCAAATACTGGCATAAAACCAGTTCACATTCCTGATTCTGAACTGTGACCCAACCAGGGCTGAAATTAATTGTACAGTGCTTATAATCTGTCAAATATTAGTCATGTTGCTTAGTAAACTTCTTCCCGAGGGTGTTCTGATGCTGTGGTAATAGAGATGATGGAAGAAGCTATTTTTTCCCAGCACTCCTCTGACTGTATCTTAGGTCTACAAAACAGGACCTGAAGTTAGAGAGCTCAAGTTCTTCCTGTCTGAGGAAGGCCTGGGGAGAGGAGGAGTTTTGAGAAGTCTTTAGATGCCAAAAAACAGCATAGAAATGAAAAAAAAATAAATTCTAATAGACAAAGAGACCAGAAGGGCAAGAAATACTTGACTTTAGTTGCAGCAGAGGAAACTCCAACAGGACATTGAGCACACACAGATCTCCAGGGCTGAGAACCCCCATCTCCAATCTCTATTAGTGCTAACCTTATGGGGAAGGGAAGTATGGACAAATCAAATCCCTGCCAAAGGCTCAATAAGCTGATCTTTTACTGTAGCAGGAGAGCACATACAAGTGTTTCTGGGTTCATGTCATAAGTCTTCATCTTGTATTTGCTGTTCTTCATAGCAAGCAACTTACATTAGTCCTTCTGAAAGTTTACCCTCTAGCCTCACTTAGGCTGACTGTACCTGTTTGTTACTTTCTCTGCCCTTTGAAAGGGCTTCTTGTCTTTGGCACCAGAAGACCACTGCTCTCTCAGGCTGGAAGGCCTGGTGTTCTGAAATGCAGTGTTTGTCAGTACTAGATAATAGAATTATTTATTCTTTACTGCTATATCATGTCATGTAGAAGCTGGAACTGGGCTGAGATGAATACACTTTTTTTTTTCTTTCAATATCTGATCTTCTGTGGTGAGTCCACTGGGATGCATGTTTTGATAGTTGTCTCTTTCCTTAGAGAGCAGTGGCAGGAGATGCCTCTGAGTCTGCACTTCTGAAATGCATTGAATTGTGCTGTGGTTCTGTCAAGGAGATGAGAGAAAGGAATCCCAAAGTGGTGGAAATACCATTTAATTCTACCAACAAGTACCAGGTGAGCATGTATCCTCTTGAAGGAGAGCTGCTGTGTGAAGCACCTGTGTAAATTTGCACACAGTGTGCCTGAAAACTTGTTTTGGCACCAAAATCTTGTCTAGCTATTACTTGTTTGAACTCTGCTCAAGACTATAAATTTAAGTTAACAGACCATGCTTTGTTATACTACGTAAGAGCTTCTGGAGCTGCACTGACACTGAGGTGTCAGCTGCTAACAAAAGACCAGATGTGCGTCTGACCTGTATACCAGCAGTGCATGGAGAGTGGAATAACTTAAATCTTGGAATAGGAAAGAACTGCTGGGAAATTACCTTAACAGGTGCAACGTGGATTCAAAAAAGACCACTGTGGTTATATGTTAGTGTTACAGAACACATGGATTCCTTAGTTTGTGAACCTCTTTAAGGTGTGGGTAAATGAAAACTAGAGCAGAATATCACAAAGCGTCCTGAGCTACTGTAGTCACAAAACACTGAGTGCTTGTGACCTTCACAGCAGATGTCTATAGCAGATGTTCCATTTCTTCCACCCATAGCTGTCTATCCACAAAAATGCAAATCCGTCAGAATCCCGTTACTTGCTGGTGATGAAGGGAGCTCCAGAGAGGATCTTAGATCGCTGCAGCACCATTCTCATTCATGGCAAAGAGCAACCACTGGATGAGGAAATGAAAGATGCTTTTCAGAATGCCTACCTTGAATTGGGAGGCCTCGGGGAGAGAGTGTTAGGTAAGGAAAAGCAGCCTTAATACATTGAAAAAGGTTTGTCCCTCATGTTCCTAAGCAGTCCCCACAGATTAAGTAGAGGGTTACTCTGTTCCTGCACTGTAATCATAATGCTGAGTCAAGGTCACTTCAGCAATTCATATAGGAACAGTCCTACCTTTAATCTTTAATGCAAAAGGGAGCCTGCAGGGTCTTGTCATGCCCAGCATCTGGGTCACCAAGATGAAAATGCAGCAAAGCATTTGGGACCTTCGGTCTCCATGGACCACATGTGGTATTAGATTTGCTCCACTGCATGTGAACCAAACTGTGTCTGGGCACCTAGCAACAGCTATTAGTTATCAGAATACAAGCGTAACTCCTGCCTCAATAGCGCTGGCTAAACCTCTGATGCTGCCCTGTTATTCTTGTGTAGTTGTTTGCAGAAGCAGTAAGTGTTCACTTTCTCTGCCTCCTGATAAGTAGGAACAGACTAAATGTGAGTTTTGTGTGTTACAGGATTCTGTCACTTGGCTCTGCCTGATGATCAGTTCCCTGAAGGCTTCCAGTTCGATACTGATGACCTGAACTTTCCTGTAGACAAACTCTGCTTTGTAGGACTCATGTCTATGATTGACCCTCCTCGTGCTGCTGTGCCAGATGCTGTTGGCAAATGCAGAAGTGCTGGGATCAAGGTAGTTTACTCCTGGACTGCAAATTGCCTCACTCTATTCCCAGGCATATAAAGGATTTCCCTTTACTCTTTGTATTGCTGTAATGTGGGTGGATGAAGCATCAATCAGGATTTAAGTAGTACTACTCCAGGCTTAATTTCTAACCTAAATACAAATGACTGTATGTTAATGGACTGAAAAACGAGTTAAACTCCAAACTGCTAGGGCACTGACAGGTGCAGACAGCATGGTGTCCCAAAGCAAGTGATTTGGCTCAGGGTGTGTTCTGCATGTCCCACAATACTAAGATAAGAATGAAGCACAGCTGGAAAGGGAGCTGGCTCCGTTAACTCAGGATTAACAATTTTCCTTGTCTTCTATCCCACTCAATCCATTGCATACTGGTGGTAGGTTACTGCCTGTACCTCAGACTTGTTCTGTGCCAGTGCTCACGTGGCCTTTTCAGTCTAAGAGACCGTGCCTTTGGGGCAGTGTTGCTCTGCAGTAAAGGCAAGGCTTTCATAGCAGTCTGTTTGCACTTCAGGTTATCATGGTTACTGGAGACCATCCGATCACAGCCAAAGCCATTGCCAAGGGTGTCGGCATCATCTCTGAGGGCAATGAAACGGTAGAAGATATTGCTGCTCGACTCAACATTCCTGTCAGCCAGGTCAACCCTAGGTAACGACTGGTGGGAAAAGCTAGAGCTGCTCAAAGAATTAAGCATTTGCCTCTCTCCTCGCCTTGGATAATCCCTCATCATCTTTCCCTGGACATGAAAAGCTTGGCATTTACTTAGCTCAGCATATTGTGGCTCTTTAATGATCATGAATTATGTGAAGAATGCACTAGGCTGTCTTAAATGTGCATCTCCTGTGTGTGGGAAGTAGTTAAGAGTAAGACTGTAGGTGGGCAAAGGGAGCAGCACTTAGGCTACGTAGAGGAGTTGACACTAGTCCATAGCTACAAGCAGAATAAATGTAAAAATAGAACTCCTTCCTCTTAAGGGTTAATGTTTGCCTTCATAGCCTAGTGCAGAATTGAGGCATCCTCAGAAAATGTGCTTTGGCATAAGCAGGCTGTTTGCAGAATGGCTGGGCTGTCTACATTGCTTAGCTTGACCCAGCCTGTGTTTGGGCTGGAGGGTAGCCATGTAGCTTATGAACTGTGAATAGAGACACCCTGTGAAATGAAATTGCTTGGGGAAGACAAGTACTGTGACTGAATTCCTTTTTTCTTTTTTTTTTTTTTTTTGTAATTTTTTGTTTGAGGGTAACTTCACAACCCAGCAGTGTAGGCTGGGAATTGCTGGGCTGTGTGACTGAGCAGCTCAGCAGCTGGCTCTAAGGGTGGGGAAGGAATTTCCCTGTCTAAACTGGATGATGTCAAGGGCTGTGTGGATAGTCTCCTAGACCTATAAGGGATGGTATGCTGGGTTAGAGAGATGGTATTTTGTTGTAGCATGCAGGGTACCAAACCAGTCTAAATATAACATTGTGTGCTTTTGTTGCCAAAGAATGTAAATTAGTCTGAACTGGCATAGTGTGAGCACTCTCTGTGAAGGGCCACATGTAGATCATCAGTCTGTTACAGAAAGGATTGCCTGCAGAAGACTGCAGCACCTCTTTCAGTGTTGGAAGCTAACCACAGAGAGGCCAAGAGCTGTAGAAACAACTAGTCTTTGCCTTGATGCACTTTAGAAAGCTATAGAAAGAATTGGTTTGCTCATGAGGCATTTTGTCAGTTACTTGGCTCTGTTTGTCTTTTCTTTGTGTTCCCCATTTACCTTTTAAATTTTGAGCATCAAACTTTTGTGGAGAGGCTGGCTGGATTAGTATTTGGTCACATCAGGAGTTGGTCTTTCCCAAGAGCACTGAAGAGCCATAGTTTTATAAGGCAAATACAGCTAATGAGAAACTTGTTGTGAAGTAAAACATATTATTGTCTCTTGTTTGCAGGGATGCCAAAGCTTGTGTTGTTCATGGCTCAGATTTGAAGGACATGACTAGTGAGCAACTGGATGACATCCTGATTCATCATACAGAAATTGTCTTTGCCAGGACATCTCCTCAGCAGAAGCTTATAATTGTGGAAGGCTGTCAGCGACAGGTAAAGAGAGGGATGTAATATTGGAAAAATCCCCAGACAGATATATATAAACTACTAGCCAGTTCTGCTTCTGAAGAGGCAAGGCTTAAAACTAAGTGCCCTCACGTAAAGGGCCAGACTAGATCTCAATCTGTGAACAGCCTTCAGGTGCTGATGTCAGGCTGGTTTACAGTACATAAATATAAGGGTTTGGCAGGAAAACATCTTCAGTTTGTACTGAGGCTTTCTTATCCTAGGAAGTGTGTTAGCACACTTAATTCTTAAATGCTCTGGATGTGCTTGGGAGAGGAGGATTCAACATGTTTACATGTTGTCCAGCATCTCCTTTGGAGAGAGCAGCATGATTTGCCTTATCAGAACAGGAAAAGGGTGAGCGGAGAACAAGGAAGAACTGAGGTCTCTTTATAGCAAAGTGAAATAGTTTTTTGTGCTTCATCTCCTGAAAGATAGGAGGAAGCTTTTCTGCTCAAAACCTCTTACATGATGATTTCAGTCTTGCTGTTCCTCTCTTTGTGACTAGGGTGCCATTGTAGCAGTCACAGGTGATGGTGTGAATGATTCCCCAGCCCTGAAGAAGGCTGACATTGGTGTCGCTATGGGTATTGCTGGCTCAGACGTCTCCAAGCAGGCAGCTGACATGATTCTGCTGGATGACAACTTTGCCTCCATTGTCACTGGGGTTGAAGAAGGTGAGTTTATAACTTGGGTGCAATGGTGATGAAATAATATGCTTCAGCAATGTTACTTACTGACTCCCTCTGAAATAGTGGCATCTGGAGGACTCTCTTCTATTTGAGCTTGTCTCCGTGTCAAGTGTTTTCAAGGAGAGCAGCACTTTTCTTCTCCCTTCAGAGTCTTGTTCCTTCCATGGGTTCAGCATGACCCTTTGGGATGGATAACAGTAGGAAGCCGCTGAGTAACAAAAGCTACTTTGTCCTTTTGCCTAACACGTGACCCTATAGTCATCTTTGCCAGCTGAGTCTGACACATTTTCTTCCCTGATGGAGCAATAGCTCTCAAAGAGGAGCAGAACAGAGGGTATCTCCAGGGGCTCTTGATCTCCAGGAACCAGGGCTTAGTATCCTGCTGCTGTATGCAGTGAGCTCTGATTGCTGTGACCAAAAATGTTGCTCTCTTTAGGTGATGCTGTGCACGGAGCACAGTCTCACCCTTACATGCAAGAGAACTCCTTCATTTGCTGCACTAGCATTTTGGTTTCCAGTGTTACCTCTGAAGCTGTCTATGAGCTACTTGGCTGCCTTGTGCTGATAAGTGAGAGTTACCTCGTTCTCTCTTCCTTGCCCCAGGGCGTCTGATCTTTGATAACCTGAAGAAGTCTATTGCTTACACCTTGACCAGTAACATTCCTGAAATCACGCCGTTCCTGATCTTCATCATTGCAAACATACCCCTTCCACTGGGAACAGTAACCATCCTCTGCATTGACTTGGGCACTGATATGGTGAATGTCTTTTTTTTTTTTTGTCTCAAGAAGAAATGAGAGTGTTCTTAGGTACCCTAGAGAAAGGACAGATGGAAGGAAAATGCTTAAATACAGTTTTTTCTAATGTTTGCATTTAAAATAAGCAACCATTTGATATTCCCTTAATCTACACTCTCCATCTCACAGCTCTCTCAAGTCTGAGGATCCTTCAGTTCTATATAAGGACAAATTGGGGATGGGGAGGTCCTTTCTGAATACTACAGCTAGGGCTTTTGGGCAGTGCTGTTTCTCAAACTGAAAACGGGGCAGGGAAGACTCTATACAGTGGAAAATTGAAACGGTTCTAACAGCAGTCCTGCCACCTCCAAAGGTCCCTGCAATCTCCCTGGCCTATGAGCAAGCAGAGAGTGACATCATGAAGAGACAGCCCAGAAATCCCAAAACAGACAAGCTGGTGAATGAGCGGCTGATCAGCATGGCCTATGGGCAGATTGGTAAGCTGCTGTTTTCTCTGGCACCAATTTGAACTCAGTGGTAGCAGGGTTGTACACCATCCTGAGTCAGTGACTGCTCTGCTTATTTTGGTAGGATTGAGGTTTGGGGTGTGTAAACCAGAACCTCAGGCTGTTAAGAACTTGCCATGATTCTTCCCCTATGGCTTATAGTGGTGGCTTATGCAGCTTGGTCCATTGAATCGCTTTCACAGTAATTTTGTTTAATTGCACAGTGCTGTAAAGGAACTGGCTGACAACCAGCTCTCCTCTGGTTCAGACTTGTTCAGCAAGAACATAGATCCCATTGTTAGTTTAATTAGAAGTAAAGGATTCTCTCCAGCGTATCCCTAAACACACAGTATTAGGAGCCGTGATTAAAGGCAGCTACAGAGACGTGCCCAATTCACAGGATGGGAGCTCATGCTTAATTGCAGCAGACCTTGGGAACCTTCTTGACTGTATTTTGCAAAGGTTGGGGGTGGGCAAGGCTAATGATAATACAAAGGGAGTTTTATCTTGTGTCCTTGAGTACAGTGCCATCACAGCACAGGGCAGAACAGAAGTAACTCTGTACAAAGTTGGGAGCAGAAGCTGCTCAACAAAAAGGCTGAAGCTGAGTTTGATGTTAGTGTGAACTATTTCTATAGCTGCTGCTTGGGACACTGAGCCCCATGAGGACTAATTTTTAAGGTGGTTGGGGTTTCCTGCAAACTGCTCTCTGTTATGATTGCTCTCTGCAGTAGCTTCAGTAGCTTCATTAGTTTTATCATTCTTTCTTATCTGTTCAGGTATGATCCAGGCCCTTGGAGGTTTCTTCACCTACTTTGTAATCATGGCAGAAAATGGATGGTGGCCTTCTGGCTTGTTAGGGCTCAGAATTCAGTGGGATGACCGATGGGTTAATGATGTGGAAGACAGCTATGGACAGCAGTGGGTAAGTTTTGAGGCACAGCGTAGATAGAGGCTGGCAGTCAGAATACTAATGCCTGCTGGACTGGGTGTGAGCACCAGAGAACCAAAGGCAGTGTGTCTGAATGAATGCTCTCTGCTTTCCTTCCTAGACCTACGAACAGAGGAAAATAGTGGAGTTCACTTGCCATACAGCCTTCTTTGTCAGCATTGTGGTTGTGCAGTGGGCAGACTTGATTATTTGTAAGACCCGAAGAAACTCTGTCTTCCAGCAGGGGATGAAGTAAGTCAGGCTGTCCATGGAAGATGTAGAATTGGACTCTGTGTTCTCCAGCACATAGCATTCTAGTTCTTCATCCCAGCAGTGTCTGAGCATCATAAGTCCTGAACAGTCTGGTGCCTTAGTAATGGATAAAAAAGGTGTGGGTGCTCTTTTTCTTGTAGTACTTGCTACAGTCATAGGCTGAGACAAAGAGAAATGCTGGCTTCTGTTGGCGATGTCTGTGGGAGCTAGCCCACTTCAAAGGACACTGACGTACTCCAGCACACAGCCTTGGTTTCCGGATCTCATACATCAAGAGATCTGGTGGCATGAACCCCCCAGCCTCCTTCTGAATTTGTGATGAAAGCAATTGCTGATTGACTTAGTCATGAACTGGTGTATCTCCATCTAGAGACATAAAAGACCCTCATGGCAACTGTGCCTGATAGTTCCCACCTGACAAACTTCTGGGCTAGACTGGAATGCCTGTTTTCCATTCACTCCCATGTGGCAACTAGGTGTTTTTTAGGATCTCATCTCTGAAGGTACTTTGTCCCTGACTGTGTTCCTGTTTCTTCTAGGAACAAGATCTTGATATTTGGTCTCTTTGAGGAGACTGCTCTGGCTGCCTTCCTGTCCTACTGCCCTGGGATGGATGTTGCTCTAAGGATGTATCCTCTAAAGTAGGTTGCATTATGCTTTTTGTGCACGGACTGTACCATAGAACAATAGTGCTTAGATTGGGAGATGGTTAAAAGTAGTTGGTGAGCTTGTGGAGCATGAGACCTGGTCTTAACCCAGAAGAGTTCAGACTGGAGGGTGTGAATGATCCTTGGCTGAAGTGTGGCATACCAGGGTTTTCTTCACTGTATAGGGAATGTTTATGGGGAGCCTGCAGTTCAGTGCCCCACAAAAAATTATCAATACAACTTCAGTACCAGTGTGCTCTAGTACAGCTGCCTCTTGTACTTACTTTCATGGAGTATTTTTATGGGTGGGGGACTGCATCTGCAAAGAAAGCCAGTTGAAATGCTCTAAATCATAGGCCAGATAATTCTTCTGTACTAAAGAACTGCTGATGACATCTTGTGCCTTTTCTTGCCTTTCTCAGAAACAGCCCAAGTAGTAGTCTTTTCCTAACAGTTGGGAGGGTGCCAACATCTCAGGCTTGCTCAACAGCATTGCAACATTTCATGGCAGGGTTTAAACTTTGAACAGTTTGGAGCGTCATGAAATTTTCATGGCAAAAAAGTCCTGGTACATCTTGTGTTCCATTCAGAAATGTTGTCTGGAGTTTGGTGCTGAAGTGTGAGCATTTCCTAACAAGAAGGCTGGCCTCTGCCCAGTGCCTGGAGCAGCTGGATGTTAGCACGTGTAAATTATAAGGGAAACATTGCAGTTCCAGTGGGCAAGGCTGTGGGCACAAAGGTTATGTGTACTTAGAGCAAATACTGCCAGATTAATAGGTGGGGAGGGGTTGGCACAGAGATGAGCAAAGGTGGTATGACACACCTTTGTGTTGGAATTATTATACAAAAGTGGATTGACCTATTGCAGAAGAAAACCTGGTGGTAACTCTTGGCTTGGAGGGTTTTTGACTGAACTGCAGCCATGTGGGAGGTGTCACACTGGCAAGCTGGGACATGCCAGCCTTCCTGCACTTGTATGTGCCATCAAGTCAGAGCTCTGCCAAGCAAAGAGCATCTCTTCAGCTTGTGTCCTCACTGTCTTCTCTCCCAAACAGGCCGAGTTGGTGGTTCTGTGCTTTCCCATACTCCCTCCTCATATTCGTGTATGATGAAGTCAGGAAGCTCATTATCAGACACAACCCTGGTGGTAAGAATATGCTGCTCATCTGTGTTTCCTTCCCCACCTCTTCATGCTACTGAGTTCTCTAGAAGCCTTGACAAAGCTTGAGGACCTCCAAGTACTGTGCAGGGGTGTATTTTGCTGTGTTTTCCCTTCCTCAACATTAATAGTGCAGTTAGTTCAAATTAAGGACTTCTTGCTGTTCCTTCATTCTCTCCCAGTATATGAAAGTACCAATGTGCTGAAGTAGGTGGAAAAGACTGAGTAATGCCTGGGCAGTTCTAGAAAGATGGAAGAGATTCTATACTGAAAGCCATAGAACATCAACAGTTTGTCAGGATTTTTTCATTGTGAAAGGTTACTTATTAGCTCAGGTGCTACAGCGCAAGTTTTCAGAGCCTAAAAGCAACTGTCGTGAACATCATAATCATACTTGGTCTGCCTTAAGACTAACTCTGCTTTCTCCCTCCTTTTCCTTTTAGGCTGGGTGGAAAGAGAGACCTACTACTAAAAAGCGCCTGTAAAACATTCCACGCACAGCCCATGCCACCTCTCCACCATCTCCCCTGTGTGCATACTTCCATCTTTGCAAGAGCAGAACTGTGCCTGGGCAGGAGTGAGCTGAAACTAAAGGAAACATGAAGAAACATGGACTGGAGGAGAAAGCAAGGGGGAGGTTGGGGTGGGGGGGAGTGTCCGACCATCAGTCCAGGGGGATGAGAGTTTGAGTAGTTTTATGTGCCTTTATGTTTTTGTAAAAGGAAACCGAAGATTTTATATGTGGATTTTTACAAATAAAGATGGATTATAAGAGGATGCCCCCACATGGTCTTAGGTGGATGTTTTTCTCAAGGCAAAAACTGGTTCAGGGCAGCTTCCCCCATGGCTTAGGGTGTGGATGTGAGTGCAAGGATTAGTCCCTGGCTTCCAATTTTTGTAGCAGGGAAGCTGAGTTGCTTGACCTGCAGACAACAGCATGTGTGAAAGTGCATCTTACTCTATAGCTCAGCGCTTAATGTGACAAACTACTTGCAAAGACTTGCATTTCAAAGCCTAAAGCTCAGGAATGCTTCCTGGCTTCCACTGACTGGCACTGGGATCCAAGCAGACTTTTCTCAAAATTCTGAGACTGATTTTCCTTCTTGCTTTCCCAAGTGAAGGGATAGTGTTTCCTAGTGTCCTCTGTGCATGCACATACTTGTTACAGCATGGCACTTGCATCCTGATACTGGCTTGTGCCTCCTGTGGAGTGAGGTCATAGGCTCATCATGGATTCTACATCCTCCACTTTTGAGGAAGGCATTGCTGTTGTCTGGGGTCCAAGCTGTCTCTGGGCTGAAGTGAGTCATGCTGCTTCCCTCTGAATATCTAGCCATTTTCTGTATGTTTTAATTTACTGTTAATGCCTGTATGGCTTGCTTCTGTGAGGACTTGCTGAGAGAGTTGGCCCTTTGCATGTGGACAGTCACCATGAAGTCCTGACTATTCATTGCTCCTAGTGCTGTTGTGCTAAAGATATCTGGAGATGCTTGTTCAAGCCCTTGGTCCTATTCCTGAACTACTGGTCTGTGTCGCTCTTAAGATATGTGTCTACCTCTGCAAAGGAACACTAAACCACAGCACTGAAAGGCTCTGCAATTAAAACTCCATCTTGTCATCCCTCCTTCCTCATTAACTTTTGTTTTTTTAAGGTGTTTGAAAGCCGGGTCACTTCATTCATGTACCTCATGTACTGAACAATATAAGCTCAAATAGCAAAGAGAGCACAAGGAAGGGAAAAAATGAGAGGCTGAAACTGGTGACTGTTTTAATTTGTCTTGGATACTCTAATGTGGAACCCCCAATCGGAGATAATTAAAAAATAAAGTCTTCCAAGTGTTGGAGTCTGCCCATGCTAACAGTTACGTGATACAACCGGACTTGAGGTGATCCTAGTTGGGAAAGGGAAATGAGGAATTGCATTAAGGGAGGAAGGAAAAAAGAAGGTGGGATGCATTTTACTGTATCTGATGATGACTGAGGAAGAGTGATGCAGAAATGGCAGTTAGTCCACCCAGGCATGACCCTTAGTTGAACTTTTTGATTAGTGCCTGAGTCCCGCTGCAATGAAGTTGCAAAATCAGTATTTTCTGATGCAGGAAGTAAAAAAAAAAAAAAAAAAAAGGGTCCCTGTCATTTCAGCTTTAAACAGCCTTAGCAGTGGGCTTCTTGCTAGGATAAAAGATGTAGGTGAGGAGAGAAGATCCTGAAGATCCAGCTGCCTGCTCAGAATGCAGCCATTTTCAAAGCGTGGTCAGGTTGCTGATGGCCTGGTTGAGCTTAGATCTAAATATTGGCAGGGAGGACTGGGGTTCCGTGCCTCTGAGCATCTAGGCCAGAGCTGAACCCATGCCCTGTGAGTTTACAGTGCTCCTCTTTGGGCTGTCCCTCTGCTGTAGTGTAGCTGAGGCTCCTTTGCAGCCAGGTCCAACCACATCTTCCAGGAATGCTTTTTGGCTACAGCTGCTGCTCAGGAGTAACACCTCACCTGGACATCTCACACCAGACCAGGAGCATTTCTTGCATTTCATGCTGTGACTCAGTAGTGCATCTTCCAAAAGAAAATACTCTGAAGCCATGACTGGAGCAAGCACTGAATAATGTTAAAGGAAAGTTTCACCCCACTGTGACAGCTTTAACATCCTTGTCTGGATAAGGGACTGAGGGAGCTGTGACTGGGATGAATGAGGCTCTGATACTTGGGGAAGGGAGCAGGTAACCAGGGTGGTGAAAACAACGTAAGATGTTTTATATTGGCCCTAGATGTTTGATATTCACAGGGTAGGTAATATGCAGTAATTAGAGACAGCATTTACAGCAGCTTCTCCTTAGCGCAATGAGCTCTTGTCACATGGTGAACTCATCCTGACTTTTTTTTCCACCCTCAAAGGGCAGGATGTGCTGGTGGCAACAGCGTCTCCTTTAACCTAAAATTACAAGGAAGATTTTGCATGAGGGGCCCATGACTCACCTCCACGTGGCCAGCAAAGGGACCTGAAATAGCATCAGTCCCTGAGCAGATGGGCACAGAAGGGCTCCCAGAAGAGAAAGTTCACAGGGGATGGATGGACACCAGACATGTGTGCCCAATTCATGCATATCCTTTGCTGGAGGTGGGGGCCTGAGTTAGAAGGATAAGGTCAGGACATAGGACCAGCTGGGGATGGTACCCATTAGGATTTGGGAGCCTCAGCAGACCTCTACAGAGCAGTTACCTCAGTGCTAGGCTCTTGCAGAGGTGTTTTTTTCCCCGGTAATCCTTCATTTTCATGAGACCTGCCAATTAGCAAGAAGAAAGGCACTGGTCTCTCCTGGAGACCTGCTCTCCAGCACCATTCCTCAAGGGATAAAGCACTTTTCTGCCAGATTTGACAGCAGGCAACTCTGAGCCCCTCCACAGTGCTCACTCGCCCCTGACTTCATGGCCTGAAAACAGGAGGAGGGCAAAACATCCCCCTCCAACCTATTAGGCCTCTGAACCAGCTGATTAGCCAAAGCAGAAAGCAGATTAACCCCAATTAGGTGGAAATGTATAAACAAATATATTCAGTAAAGCCTTTTGGATAGGTTCCCCAGGAGACTGGCTTTGAACATACCTCCCAGGGACCTTCCATAGCTTACACTCACAGCTTCATACTCCATCAGCTCCTAAATTGTGCCAGTGCTTGGGGCCCCTTCTGTGCTCTCACAGAGCTCCTGCTGCACTTGCTTCAGATATTGCTGTGCTCCTGTCCCTCATGCTCTGCCTCACCTCCAGCCTCTGCAGTCCTTCTCCTTCTCTCTCCCCGTCACTTCATGCACCATCCCAAGAGTGTCTGGACTCCTGGGCTTTGCTGATGAAAAGTATGGCAGAAGGTCTGTATCCATGGAAAGTTTTACTTCCTACATGGAATGATAGAAACCCCTCTCATCACACTCATCTTTGCTCCCATGAGGTCATTCATCTCCCTGCTTCTTTCATCTGGCTTCCCAAGCACAATAACATCTTCACTTGTGTTAATCTTTGAACCCTCTTGCTCTCCAGAAGTCTGGAAAATGGCTGGTTTGCTCAGCTTTGGTAACAGCAGCCATAGGATCCTGTATTTCTATGCTCTCTTTCACTTCAGAAGGCCCCAAATTTCCCATATGGTACACAAAAAATTCTCTCTGCCTCTGGGAGGCCTGTGCTGCTGTCAGGCAAACAGCCAGTTCAAACAGCCCAGAGGGGAGATCTGATCAGGAAGGAGATACCGAAAAACTCTCCAGTGAAATGCCACTGGAACTTTCCTACTATAGCTTGAAAACAGCTGTGCTTCCTAAGCATGCCTGGGAAGGTTGGTGTCACCTCCCAGAGGTTTGCCCAGCCAGCGCCCCTATGTCCTGTGCACTTGCTGAAATGGATCCCTGATGCACAGAAACAGCCAGAAAGTGAAGGATGGTTAGAAAATCTTCAGCCATGAGGAATGGGAAACCTTTCCACAGGCAGAGCAGTTCAGCTTCTCCCCTTACTGCTTCAGAGAGGAGGTTGAACAGCCAGCAGAAAAAAACTCTCACAGTAGTTTTTCTAAATGTTAAAGGAAAAAAAAAAAGGGATCCTTGACAGCGTGTCACATGCATGGACTGGGACCCGCAGCTGACAGGAATGAGAGCTAAAAATAGATATCAGTGCTAATGGGCTCAGAGCTGCCTTCGGTGAATGAGTCCCAAGGTGAATTATGAAATCTAATACACGTTCTCTCCCTAACAAGTGTGGTTTCTATCAAGGCTTATTTACTTTGGTCTTCATTCCTGCCGGACATAGGATACTACTCTCAGGTTTCACAACGAAACAGATCTGGGCCTGATGGGGAGACAGCCAAGAAGTCAACAGGAGCACTGTTATGGAGGATCCAGCTCCACACATCTCAGCAACAGCACTGGCCAAAGGAGCTTCTGGTTGTGACCCTTGCCTAGACAAACTGACCCAGCTAAATTGTGATGCCCCTCGGTGACCTGGCTTTCAAATAATCTCCTGAAATCCTGTATTCGAACAACACCTGCAAGTCTATACCCATGCTTATATTGGTGATATATATTCGGGGGTGAGGATCTGATTGCTTTCATCCAACCGATGCCCACCTGCATCCCTATAAATCTGGTCTGGCTGAGGCATGGTAACAGAGCTCACTTCTGTTGAATGGTGCTTATTATGGCTTTGTCCCATGTGTTGGGAGGATGGACAGCACCTGATCCAGAAGAAAAAACAGAGCAGCACAGGCATGAAGCCTGACTGTGCATGAATTGTTGTCTCAAAAATTCACTAAATATTTTGAAAGAACAAGTTTATACTTACCTACTCTGTGCATGGCATGGCCAGGGTGTGTTTGATCTGATGGCAGGAGCCCTACTGTGAGGTTTACCACATCATCCAGCTACAGCCTGAAATGGCTGGGAATAGTCTCCCCACAGCTCAGTGCTGCCCCAGCAGACAAAGTTGGGCCTATGGGTAAAGGAGTGGAGGAAGGGGGTGCCTTAATAGGCAATTGGAGTTTTTCTCTCCAGCTAGGATATTTTCTCCTGTTGTTTTCAGCTGTAACTACAGCTTGTTATCCAGGAACATTTTTTCTGTTCCTCCCCCCTCCGCTTCTTAAAAAATGCTTTCAGAAAGCAAATCTGTGCAACAGCCAGTCTGAAACACAGTTGTCCCCAGCCTACTTCTTATCACACGTGCTTGCCTGCATGCTGTTACTTCTCTGCTCTTCCAGGGTTTTTTTAGGAGGCAATTAATCCCCAGAGGGATTAAAATAGAAATGAAGAGTGTTTTTCCTTGGAGAGAACATTTCCGAATGACCTTCCTTCTCCTCTGCAGTGAAAACTGACCATCTTGGATGAATCGCTCCCAAAGCAACAGATTCCCCTTGAAGGTTTCCGGCAAAGTCTTCTCATTATCATAGGCCAAGGATCAGGAACAGCTCAGCTGCACTGTCGGCATCCAGCACGAGTTAATGGAAACAGCGTGATCACCTGGAAATAATGAAGGTATGATAGGAAAGAAAACTTAATACTGGGATGAGCACCCTCAGGATCTGCTGGGGAAGGTCTATTTTTGTCACATACAGAGCAGTCAGGGTAGGATCCTCACTAACTCCTCTGGAAGCAGTAAGATAGCTACAGTTTGCTCAATCCTTCCTCTTTTTTATTCTGGGTTTCAATGTGTTTTTGTAACCAGCTGTCTGAAGTCATCAACATCCGTAAACTCCCATGTGCCATTACTGGAATCAAGGAACTTGCACTGGTGTCAGCAGGGTCCCTTCTCATGCCTGCATGTGAAATTCCCAAATTACTACCAAATTTGGAAGAAGCACTAAGAACCTCTTCTTCCTCTCTATGCCTTATCTTTGAGTTACTCCCTTGCGTGAAGCTCTCCACTCATACTGCTGTATTCACATGGTTGCTGGATCCTCAGCCAACATACATGAATCCATCTCCCCAACACACACACATGGGGTATGTAACAACCACGTTAGGGCTCTTCTATTCATATTATCCTTAACGATTGTCCTGTCTTCACTCATATCAGTGGAATATTAACATCTGGACAATCAGGCAAGATCTAGATGTTTAAATATATGACCACAGATATCTTACAGCTGTATAAATACAGCTACATAAATACTCTTTTGCCTGACCACCTTTCAGGCTTGAATAGGCTTGTCCTGCTGTCTAAGGAGAGCTCAGCAACACTATTGCTCCCAGGGTGTCTCTGGGGCTTGAGCTGTGCCCTAAAGAAGAGTAGGGAGCTGGCTCTGGATGCTCTCCAGCAGCAGACTGGGAAGGGTGCAGCAGCCCCCAGGTACAGGGCTTGGATGCTATGCTCAACAACACAGGGAGAGGCATGTATTTGCCCAAGGTTTAGTGGAGATTAACTGAATAGCCAGCAGATCTGGGGAGCAGTTTAGGACATGCCTTGTGGTGCCATAAGTATGTGATGGTTCAAAATGGATGAGAGAAGCAAAGCCTCCCAGGCCAGCTTTGAGAAAGGCACCCTGCTAGAGTCAAGCTTGAGGAAGGAAGGAGTAAAGAAAAGCCTTTTTTTCACAGTTTCACTCCTAGAGCCTTGAGCAGGAAAAGGGAGGTCAGTCCCTCTCTGAATTTCAGGCTAACGTCTGTGATCCCACCCTAACAAGGCCTATCCCACCTTACTGAGGAATAAAGGTGTCCTCAGATGCCATGTGTTGTGTTGCTGTTAAACAAACAGCTCTTCACAGGTCTGTGGGATGAATTTCTGCACCCACTGAGTATGGTAGTAACACAACTCTCCAGTCCCACAGAGGTGAGGTGGGAGTTGTACACTCCCAGGAGGGCACGGTCAGAGAGGTAGGTTTGATGGAACGGGATATGGCATGGCAGGAGAAGAAAAGCCCTTGAGCCCTGTATGGTGTGTCCCACCTCAGCCCATTGGTTTCCCTTGAAGCTGTTCCTCTTCCTGGTGCCTGTCCCTGACAGCTGGTAGGACATCACCACTGTATCTTGGACAGTTGTGGCATAGACGGAGACTGTTCAGCAACCCACAGCTTGCATCCCCTTTCTTGCCAGAATAAATGAGAAAGGGGATTTTTGCTTCCCTTCACTGTAAAGCACTTGGAGGCAGAAAGATTTTGCTATAAATGGGAACTTTTTGGTGCTCTGTGGGGAAAACTATGTCACCCTTGGAACAGGAGTGCAGAGCTAGCCAAATCAGAGGTATTCCTCTGTATTCACATCATTCCCAGCTCCTTAAACTTCCCATCACCAGCCAAGGCTATGAGTTAGGGAACATAGGACGGGGGGTGAGAGGCAGGAGGAGAAGGGGTTCTTAGGAGAAGATCAAATCTCAAAACATCATATTTGCACTCATTGGAAGGCAGTAAAGAAGCTAGGCAAGCAGGACAATTAGAGATAAGGGTAAGCAACACAGTGTTCCCAGCCTGATGTCCTGCCTGCTGGTAAAAGTGGGGGTGCAGCCCAATGCATTCTTGACATTTTGTTCTCCCAACTGATGCCAGCTCAGTTCTTATCAGATATCTCCATGGCCAATGATTTTTCACAGTGGATAACACCACTGCATAGGAAACAGTCATAAACCTCTGTCCAGGCAGCTGAGCAGAATGTTCCCTTCCTGGCCTTCATATGGGGATATTTGTGGCTTTACCTTTTCCCCTCTTCCTCACTTAGCCTCTGCCTTGCACATTCACAGCTCTGACCCACCCTGAGTTACACAAAGGCAGTGAACCTCAGACCAGATCTTTCCTCCACTCTTTGGATCCAGTACGACTTCCTCTTCCACAAACAATGCAGACTTACCTCTAAGATTGAACATACTCTTTGGCTGTTCCCTGTTGGCCAAACCAATCTTAAATTGCAGGGACAGTACGGCCAGGATGCAGACTCAGAGCTGGGGCAGGATGGCACATCTGGAGCAAGGCTGCCATCAGGAACCAGCACGGCAGCAGGAGAGGCTATGCTTTGCTCCAGATTCCTCAACTCTCCACAGCAAGAGGATGCCCCTGTCCACCCTCCCCACTGAGGAAAGTAATTTCCATGCTCAAGGATGCTCCCAGCTTTATAGTTTCCATGAGGAAAAATTCCATAATCTTTGCAGTACCGGACAAGGTGGAGGTGCATCAGCTGACCAACACCACTTCAGGCTTAACATGGGAATCACCTTGCAGCCAACAGAGCCACCTCTGACAGAAATCTGACCTTGAGCATGCTGGCCTGACTTTGCAGCTGAAGTGGCACCTGAGTTTCCCTCTAAAGCAGATTTTTGGCCAAATCTCAAGGATGCTTTGGCTGCTGTTCTTCTTTATGCTGAACTGTGTGAAACTGGGCTTGGTGTCACAGCACTGTGCAAGAGAGACACTCTCCTTGTTCTGCTCTGTGTCCAACTCTCTGCTAAAGCAATGTTTGGGGAGCTCAGTTATGTGTGCCAAAGCCAGGGGAGCTGAGGATGCAATCCAGCTGCTTCCCTTTAGATTTTGTAATCCAGGATAAGAAAGCTTTCCATTAAGCACTCACACCCTAGTGATAATGGTGACAAAAGCACGCCCTTGCCTAGGTTAACACATGATGATACTGTTAACGTGCGCACCACAGCTTGAGACTTTTTCAGGACTCTCTGGGATGAGTCCTCACAGATTAGGCAACAAGGAGTATGTTAATTTTGGCCAAGCAGAGCTAACTTTGATTTACCTTGGGCTGCTCTGCCCTTGGCTATGTGTCCCAGGGGCTCCCACTTTGCAGTGCCCTCACTCCCAGGGCACAGAGCCTGTCCCTCTGGGGCTATCAGAAACCCTGGGGCTGTTCAGAGCCTCAGGCTCTTTGCAAGAGATTTCTGCAAGGCATACATACATATACAAATACACATATGTTAACACATATCTCTGTGCTATATGTCTGTTTTTACACACGTGACACTATACTTGCACATCACTAGTGGTTCTGCAGCGCTTTGCAATGGAAGGATTCTTGAAACTGCGAGAGCAGAGTTTCTGGGAGATGAGCTCTGTGGCTAGTTCCTGAGCCAGTTTAGGCCCTTTCTGAGGTATTTTTCAGAATAAGCAGGATAATTTTCCATTTTTTTCATTCCTCCATTGTACTGGCAATGATAGGTATCAACAGCCATCAGTCTGAATCTCTTTTGTGCAGACTGCTTTACCACAGACCCACAGAACTGTAGTCACTCTCATGCACTATCATATTATGGCATCAGCTGTATCCAGCCATGTTAAGATTTTCATGGCTCATGTGGCTTGCCTAGAGCCTACAGGTCTGTGTGCAGTAATCCTTTACCCACACACCTTGCTCTGACAGATCCTAGCTCCTTTTCTTCCAGTGTTGTGGATTCCCAGCTCTGCAAACCATTTCAGGACACTATTCACCCAGTCATAGCCATGGTTTTGGAGGGGATGTGCTGTGTTGCTTGGCACAGGCAGAGTTAGTCCTGGCTCTCCAGCAGTCCTTGTTTTCAGTTCCAGCCATGGGCTGGTCTCCTCTAAAGGAGTTGGCTATGCTCCTCTTTTCCTTTCTCCTCTCCTAAAACTACCAAACCTATCAAGCACATCAGAGCCAGCTGGTGTAAAAAGTAGGACTGTTTCTCAAGGTCTTCTTATTTGCTCACACCTTGTGCAGGCACTGAGTGAAACAGTCTTTGACTTTCTTCTGCTGCTTCTCATGGCCCCAGAGCTCCAGTGGAGCTTTAAGTGCTCCATTCTTCTGCTCTGAAGTCTTCTTGGTATGTCTGGCACTGTGTGACCATTAGAGATTACTCAGTAATTCAGGTATTAATTTGCAGGACAGAGGCCTGCCTGTGGTCAATAAGGCGGTGCCCTTCTGTTTATTATATGAAAACCGTGCCCCTTCTCTGTCCCAAGAAATGCTTACCACCACCTATAACTGATGGGAACCTTTCCAAACAAAAGCCTGTTAGCACAGAACTGCCAGTTCCCAGCTCCTTGCAATAGTAGGACTATATCTGCCAGATGAAATCCTGGAGGACCAAATCAGATGCCCACAATTCTTGCCCACTGGACTAGAAAAAAGATCTTTTCCTAGCTTTGATCTGGACACTGGCTCACTTTTGAATTCATGAACAAGACACACCACAGAGATCCTTGAGAGGTTTTCCAGGTCAACCTGTACACATCCCAGCTGGTCCCTCTATCTGTGGCCAGTCTCTAGCACTTCAGAGAGTCAGCTAGAACTGTCCTGATTTTACAGGAATATGCAGGAATGGGGGGCAGTTAAGCAAGTGGCTTGCAGACAGAGACAAAATCTAGCCAAACAGCATGCCTTCCTCCTGACCATGCAGACAGTAAGCACATCTACGGTGGATTAGTGGGATCTGGGGAGACCTCCAGGCCTTAGGATGCTGGCCCCATAACCTGCGAGGTGAATGCCCTTCCCCCTGCCCCTGCACGTGGCCCGGCGACCCCGCAAGGAGCACACAAACCACCAGGGAGGGAAGGACGGACGAAAGAGAGAGT